GTCTACAGCCAGCACGCGGACTGCGCCACCACGGTTGACTTCGGAGACCCAGGAGTGGTTGAGAGACGTGAGCAGGTCAGATGTGCTGAGCCCCTGCTGGAATCCGTACTGGTAGATGGACAGGGCCTTTTCATGCTCAAGATGATTGATTATGGCAGTGTTGACAATCTTCTCCATGACTCTGGAGACAACAGATAACAAGGACACAGGTCAGCAGTTCTTAACAGCAGAGTGAGACTGCTTCTTGTGTATCGGGACCACACGGGCTACTTTCCAGAGAGAGGGCGGGACATGGCACCGAAAACAGAGTGAGAACAGCTGGGCAAGTGGTGCAGCCAAAACCTTTGAGCACTGCTTCAGAACTCTGGCAGGGATGCCATTGGGTCTGGTAGCCTTGGTCGGATCCAGCTGGCGGAGCTGGCGCTGGACTGTCGCTTCCCAAAAGCGGCCAGTTGTCAGGGCAGATGTACACCTAGGAGGAAGGTCAGGAAGGTCGGAGTGCTGTAGATCTTGATCACCCAGCCTGCATTTGCTCGCAAAACATTTTCCAAAGCAAGTAGCTTTTTCTTGGTTGGTGACATATTCTCTGCCCTGGGCATTACGTAGGACAGGGATAGACGAGCTGCGGCCAGAGCCTGCAGCTTTCTTCAGGAGTGACCACCATTGCTTGTTTCGCACTGATCCATGTTTGAGCCGATCTCGGATGCGGGCAAATTCTGCCTGCTTTGCGAGACGGAGGCAATTGGCAGAGGCTTTGGCACTGGACTCAGACTGCATTTGCTCGCAACGAATTCTCCAAAGCAAGTAGACTTTCCCTGGTTGGTGACATGTTCTCTGCCCTGGGCATTGCGTAGGACAGGGATAGACGAGCTGCGGCCAGAGCCTGCAGCTTGCTTCAGGAGTGAACACCATTGCTTGTTTCGCAGTGACCCATGTTTGAGCCGATCTCGGAGGCGGGCAGATTCTGCCTGCTTTGCGAGAGGAGGCAATTGGCAGAGGCTCGGACTTTTGCATTGTAGTCAATGATTTGCTGGTGACAGGTGGGGTGTCTCCTCAGACGGTTCCATGCATAATTCTTTGCCTGGGTAGCGGCTGAGCATTCCGGCGTCCACCAGGATGGATCTGTTGGTTTCGTCGAAAGTTCTTTGTGTGGAATGAAGCGATTCATGCCTTCCATGACAACAGCCGTTACTGATCTGCACGACGCCTCGGGGTCCTCTGATATATCCCAGTTTGCTGTTGAGTAGAAGTGCCGAAGCCGGCCCCAGTCTGCCTGAGCATACCTCCAAACGCGCCGTTTAGTCGGTGGTTCACGGAGTGGGGTGGCATCAAAAGTGGCCACAACGGTGGCATGATCTGATGCTCCAATGGGGTCCAGTACATTTACCTCCACGGAGGTCTCCGAGAAGTCGCTGAGTATGAGGTCCAGGGTGTTCTCACCACGTGTCAGTTGAGTAACGTGCTGGTGGAGCCCGTGGAACGCAGAGAGTTCTGCCTTGTATTCACCAGCTGTTGTAGTCTTCGTGCTGCATAGCCAGCTTTCATTATGAACATTTAAATCCCCGGCTATCACAACGCTGTTCCCGAGGGATCGAGCTTGATCCATGACTGAGTCAGGATACTCAAGCAGAGAGACATCTTGTCCAGGGCACGACCCGGGTCGGTACACTGCACATACAACTACTTTCTGGCCATTGTCAAGGTGCAGGCGAAGCCAGATGAACTCATGGCCATGGCAGTTGGTGTCACTCAGGTGGTCAAAGGGGAGGGAGTCCCGGACCCAGACTACAACTCCGCCGCCTTGAGCATATCGGTCAAGTCGGAGGGGTAGGTGGAAGTCCAGCATGGAGGAGTCAGATAGTGAGGCTTTCTCCGGAGTGAATTTAGTCTCTGTTACGATGGGGATATCAGATCTGCTTCGTGCAACAGCATGCTGGAAGGCTCCAAACTTTGACAGCAGCCCAAAAACAGTTGTCAGCAGTAGCTTCATTACTGGTATGTCCTTGCGCAGCTGGTGTTCATTGGCGTTTGTGTGGCTGAATCGCTCCAGCTGAGGCAGCCTCTGCCTCACTGTCCCTATCACCTCTGCTGCCCACGTTGCCGCCGCCAGATTCACCACATGAGGTGTCACCCTGTGGCCATTTGCGGTGTCGCCAGGCTCGAGCATAAGTGGCCATGGCCAGAAGTTCGCAGCAGTGACTGTTTCTAAGCCTCTGGCGTCGAGCCTCAATCGGGCGGAGACTTTCCCGTCTTCCGTGGTGTGCATGCTGCACTCGTGGACCTTGACAGATTTCACCACGGCCACAGATCGCTGCTGAGTGAACTCTGTCACTCGCTCCACTGTGCAATAAGCGTTCAGATTTCCCACATACACGACTGCCTTCCTTGTTTGGTGGGTTTCTTTAGACACTACCTCCGACAAGCGAAACTTGGCACGTTTTTTACTTCAAATTATTCGAAATAAATCACACTTTACAATCAAAACTAATGATTGAATCACCACAATTCAACTTTGTATTGCTCAACCAGGACATTAGAGACATCTGTTAGGCTGAACAACTCTCCTCTGATTCAGCGATCGCAGTTTCTTCTGGAGACGAATTGTCCCTGTTTTGAGACAAAAGTGCGACTAGAGCGGATTCAGTTGCAGCAAGTACCTTTGTTGTAATCGCTTTGAAAATCTCTATGTCGAGCCACGGTGTCGAGGGTAGTCGTTTCCGCCGCCACTATCCAGATTGACGTGGTAGGATCTGTGCAACACCTCCACAAGCGCCTGCACTCCAACTGCTTTTCAGGGTATTCTCGCCAACTGTCCAAAATTGCCTGCAGCAATTACTGGCGATTTTCCTTAGCCACCAGAGACGCATTGCGCTAGTGGCTGTTGAAAGACGCTAGGACTGTTTGGCATGGACGCATGTACTCTGTGCTGGCGGAGTGACCAAGAGGAGAGAGAGAGAGAACTCCTTGGTTTTGTATTGCAACGCGAAAGCACGACAATTCTCCTTCGCAGAATGTATGCGCGCACAGTTTTTCTGGTACACGAGAGACACGCTTGCCTCTGACTGATAAGTCTTAGCCATGTGCCACTCACCAGCTCGTCGCTTGGCTTCCTGCACCCGGTTGCATGGAGCTACAAGTACTAAGTAGGTCGTACCTCACAGCCTTGTGAAGTAGTATTGGTATCAACACAAAAAAATCAAAAAAACGCGCCAAGTTTCGCTTGTCGGAGGTAGTAGTTTCCACAATTCGTCAGCGATTGGGTGGAACGATGTTTTCTGGGGCTTGACTGGGGGGGGGGGGGGGGGGGCGCCCAACAGTCTGAAAACTTTCGTCTTCCTCACTCGAGATCTCACGATCACTGCCAGTGTCATCCACGTGTACGCGTTTGAAAGCGCTACAGTATTCTCCTGCTGATGCACCAGTGCACTTGGTGTCCTGGTCTTTTCGCGTACGGGTACGGCTACGAGATCCCTTCCGCCTCGTCGTACTCTGGGGCTGTTGTTCAGCCGGAGGAAAGGTAACACTTGCCCTTGCAATGCCAGACTCCTTAATGGTGACAACCTCCTCTTTCAGTCCTGTTATCTGCACGACCAGTTTGTCAATCCAGTTTTGGAGTTGGACCTGTTATCTGAGAAATCGCGCGAAAAAGTATGGAGCTCGAAAAATTCCAACTGTACTCTTCAGCTACTTTTTCTTGCATCTAGTACTAAGTATTTCCCTAATCTACTCTTCTTAGTTCTAATGCCGAGAACTACAGAAAACAAAAGTACAGATCGATGAAGGAGGGAAACTGACTTGCTTTTACAACAAAAACTTGTCTGTGTGTGCGGGGAGAGGCGGGGGGGGGGGGGGGTGTGTTGGCAAGTCATTTGTGTGTGGGGGAGGGGGGGGGGGGTATTGGCGATTACTCTGTGTGTGTGGGAAGGGGGGGGGGAGGGGGATGGGGGAATGGCCGAGTCATCTCGGTTGTGGAAGGGGGGGGGGGATTATTGGCAAGTCATCTGTGTGTGGGGAAAGGGGTTGGGGGGGGGGGGATATTGGCAAGTCGTCTGTGTGTGGGACTGAGGGTGTTGGCAAGTCATCTGTGTGTGGGGGGGGGGGAGGGCGGGGAGGGGATGGGGGGGGGGGAGGGCGGGAGGGGGGGGGAGTGTGGTTGTAAAGTAATGTGTGTGTTGGGGGAGGGGGGACGGAAGGGCAATGTTCGGAAGTGATGTGTGCTTGGGGCGGGGGGTTATTGCCTCTGTTAGTGTTTGTGGGGAGGAGTGTGTGTGTCGGGGGAGGGAAGGGGGGGGGGGGGTATTGGCAAGTCATCTGTGGGGGGGGGGGGGGGGGGGCAGGGGGTGGAGGCGGAAGGGGGGGGGGGGCAGGAAAAGTGTTGGCCAGTGATGCAAGGGTGGGTGCAGGTAGCTTGTGTGTGTGTGTGTGTGTGTGTGTGTGTGTGTGTGTGTGTGTGTGTGTGTCCCATATGGTGCAGTGGTATGTGCAGTCGATTTCCAATCGAGAGATTGCGGGTTCGATTCCCGACGATTCTGGTCACACACGTCTTTCTTCTCTTTCTCAGACTCTTCCTGACTTTTCTTTCATTCTCCTGGGTGGTTACCAACAGCCAGTGCATGCCGGAGTATGTGCTGTGGTGTGTATGTCGAAAAAAAAGATATACAAAAATTAAACAAATGGAAAAATGAAAAATAGGGATTCACTGTCCAGAAAAAGTAACTTCAATCAGCTGTGTGGTGGATACCAGGCTAACGAATTAAAAGTGGCGGTCAATTCATCAGCCTTGCAAGCTGTTGAATGGTGCAATCCCAGCACAAGTTGCTATGTCTAACATAGCTGTCCGCTGTCATCGCTTCCACGATGGGCAGGTCTGAGGTCTGAGGTGTGTGTGTGTGTGTGTGTGTGTGTATGTGTATGATAAGTTATAGATATTATAACATTGTTCTATCGCCACTGCCTACTTACTATTAGCTTGCATTTGCTATTGTGTTGCATTGTATTAGATTTCCCGTCACTACAAGCAACATGCGCTACTTCACCAGGACTTACAAACAGCTGAACAACAACCCGGGGTCATTGATCAACTGAAGACGGAAGTAGAGAAGGTTCAGCATGATGTGGATGCAATGCAGGTTAGTTGAAAGTGTGTTGATTTGATCTGCTTATACTTCATCTCTGCATACCTGTATGTATGTATGCTTCAGAGGTGTATGTACACTAGTGCTGAAACGATTATATCGATTACTCGTTACTTACTCCATAAGAAATAGATCGAGCGGTTATTTCGATTTTATCGGCTAAGCGAGTAGAATGGTACTTGCGCTCGGTACGGGATTTCCCCCCTTTTGGGGGTGGCACAAAGCGTTTTTTTAAGCGTGCATTCACCGAAACTGTTGCAAGTACGACACGGATTTGTACATGAATGTACACTTGCAACATCGATGAACGTGTAAAAGTACAAGCGCGATCTGAGAAACATCGACGCAATCACCGCCGCCGTTTTTTCAGGTTACTACTTTTCTCACATACAGCATGCAGGATTGGCAGGCTCAGTATGTGTCTACACTAGCTGCAGGGGCTGGAGTTCCCTCCAAGTGCGAGTAGTCTTGAGCTCAAGACAGTAGTGTGGTCTTCAGTTTCGTGTTTTCCATTTCGTCGATGGTTCCCGAGCCAGTTTACTCGACAATGAGCTAGGCCTGGCGTCTGGGCCTGTTTTTGAGCATAGACAGAAATAAATCAACTAGTTACTTGTTTGGTGCGCCTCCAGTCAGCTCATCCGTCGAAATTCGCCGATCTACACCCCAGGACGACTTCTCTGACTTCATCGTCGGAGTCAGCGAAGTCACAGGCGAAGGGCACCATCAGCTCTTGGGTTGCGTGCGTGCGTGGGTGGGTGGGTGGTTGGGTGCGCGCGTGCGTGCGTGCGTCCCATATGGTGCAGTGGTATGTGCAGAGATTTCCAATCGATAGGTTGCGTGTTCGATTCCCGACGATTATGGTCACACACATCTTTCTTCTCTTTCTCAGACTCTTCCTGACTTTTCTTTCATTCTCCTCGGTGGTTACCAAAAGCCAGTGCATGCCGGAGTATGTGGTGGGATGTGTATGCGGGAAAAAAAAGAAAGACCAAAAAGTAGGGATTCACTGGCCGGAAAAAGCCCCTTTATAGCTGTGTGGTGTAGACCAGGCTGAATAGTGGCGGTCAATTCTTCAGACTTGCAAGCTGTTGAAAATGGTGCAATCCCAGAACAAGCTGCTATGGCTTCTGCTGTAGCATCGCTATCATCGCCTCCGGCAATGGGCGTCTGTCGGAGTCGTGGTGACGCCTGGTACCGTTCAGGTTTCAACAGGTCACATTACAGGACTGCACTTTGCGTGCATTCATCGAGCACTACACCTGTAGCCATGCATGACTGTATGATTTATGTGTCTGTAGGTCATGTATGGTATCACTCATGCGTGAAATCATGTGATCATCAACCCTGTTTTTCCCGGGCTTGTGCTCCTGTGCACGAGACGTATGCTTCAGATGTATGGCTTTTTTCCCGCTGCACGGCATCTCACGTGCAGAGTTTTTCCGCGTGCAGTGCTCTAGCAGCTTTGGTTTTGTTGTTGTTTTTATTCTCCTTGTGTTGGAAAGAGTTCATGGTGAACAGTGGTTGAATCCAATTCTAAGTTACTTCTCAGTTCTAGCTAGGTTCTTGATAGATTTTGCTAGGGCATTGTTAGAGAGCATCCAAGATAATCCAAGATGGAGTTGGTGTTTTGAGAGTGAGAACTCGAACCAGTAAAGTTTGTCTCCATTGTTGAACGTGGGTTCGGAAAGTATCCGCAGTCGGTATTACAGTTACGGTACTGATGCAACCTGGTTCCGGGGAATACGGAACATAGTGGTCCTTCGAGCCGGATCACGTCCACGATGGAGAAGCTCAGGCGGAGTCAGCGCACGACGAAAGGCGTCGCAGCGCCAAAACTCGGGTACACAGACACCCAGTCCTACGCTGGTGCTAGTGGTGGAGATGACAGGATGACCGAAAGTAGGAGCCAAGCCGTCACCGCGAATTCAGCTGACAGGCTCAGCGCCAGGATAGCCGTGTTACAAGCGGAACAGGCTGTGGCGGAAAAGCGGCTGGAAATCGCCCGGTTGACGGAGCAGGCGATGTCGGAAGCCGAAGGGACGTTGAGGGAAAGGTCCGTTGAGACCTCCAGCTCTCCTGCGATGCGAGAAGAAGTCTTCCAGGAAGCGGGTGAGTTGCATGAGGCGGTTGCAGCCCAAGATACGTCGCTTATCGACTTTGACGATGATGTAGTTGCACCTAGTTCAGTTGCTGTTCCAACACCAACAGAGTCACACACGGTAGTCGGTGTAGAATCTCAGCCATCAGAAGGAGAGGCTTCCCATAGATCTACGCACGTAACGTCAGAATCAGCAGTAGGTCTACACCATGCAGAGGCCTGTCAGGCTAGCACACCACCACCGGTAGACGTAGTGATAGACGCACATGTAGAGAGGGACTCAGATGTCCAGCATGTCCGTGCATTCACTCCGGCACACAGCTACCACTACCAGGCACCGCCATGCGTAGTCCAAGATCCGGTTCATGAACACCTGAATGAACCTCCGTTTCATCAACCAGAACCGCAGGCACAGGCACAGACACAGGTACTTCAAAGAACGATTGAACACACCACTGCTGTTGTAGCCGATGCCACTTACGCTGACTATCTAAGCGAGTCCATTCAGCGGGGAATAGGGCCCGAGCCCTGGGGTAGGACATTCGTAGAGCGTCAGCAACTGCCGAGATCCAGTACTGGCAGTAGTCTACGCAGTGTAGAACGTGAGTTCCGGGCCAAGGAAGTTGCGTATCAGCAGCAACTATTACAGCTTCAGACGATGATCGATGAATCCGCGATCGTCGAGAAGCGGCGCCAGCGAGACGCTTACGCACTGCAGACGAACCTAGAGGAAGCTGAGGCGAGTAGGGCAATGGTCGAGCTAGCGTGCGACAAGCAAGCCAGGGATATTGCGGCAGAACGAGTACGCAACGATGAGCTGGCCCGATCGATGACAGAGCTGAGGCAGCGGCTATTCGCAGCGGAGTATGCCCTACGAGAAAGCCGTGCCAGACAACGACGAGCGCCGAAGTCTGGTAGTGTCACTGAGCCTGTTAGAGAAGTACAAGGCTTACCGGTAGTGCAACCACAGCCTGCACAGGTCCACGAGGAGAGACGTGAGCGCTGCGAGTCGACCGCAAGCACAAGGCATAGCGGTATCCCGAGCACTACGTCACCCAGTCACCCACACGCATCCATGCCAGTACCCGCACCACGAAAGCACCGTCGCGACACGAGTGCACGTGCACGCAGCTACATGACAGTCTCAGACTCCGACTCAGAGTCAGGGCCACGTGGATACTCTAGTGCCAGAGCTACGGAGACGTGTACCGGTGGTAAGGGCGCAGCAAGTAATGCGAGTGAGGTCGAAGACGCGTACATGAGTGGTTGTACCTCTACTACCGGTAGTATTACTGGCAGCACAGTTAACAGCAATCCTGCGCGTCAGATGGCAGACCTGGCCAGTGAGTTTGTAGGTGCAATCACCCAGGCCCTACGTCAAGGGCAGACCTCCCAGGTCGAGGATAGTAACGCTGGCATCAGACAGCTGGCTGCACGCCAGTCATCCACCAGCAGCAAGCTGCCAATCTTCTCTGGCAAGCCGGAGGAATGGCCCGCGTTCCTCGCGCTGTACCGAAGCAGCACGGAGCAATGCGCATACTCAAACGCAGAGAACGTCCAGCGCTTGCAGACCTGCCTGAAGGGACCAGCCCAGGAGGCAGTACAGCTGCTCCTGGCCGTGCCAGACAATGTAGACGAGGCCATCCGGACACTGGAGCGTCGTTTCGGCCGGCCGGAATTGGTAGTGAAACAGCTAATCGAGCAGGCCAAGGCGCTGAAGCCAGCCAGAGCAGAGGACACGGACGCCCTGCACTCCTTGGCCACATCTGTGAGGAACATCGTCCTCACTATGAAGCTGCTAAAGAGCCATGGCCACAGGAACAACCCTGCGCTCCGTGATGAGCTGGTGGCCAAGCTGTCGCTCCCCCATCGAATGCAGTGGGGCGAGTATGTGAAGGCCAAGGGCCTTAGTACGGATGAACTAGACCTTGGTGTCTTGTCTGAGTGGTTGGCCGAACGAGCGGAAGCCGCCTCTCTGGTGACACCAACCTCCACCAAGACGGCCGCCGTTCAGCCAACCCCACCGCCTAGAAGGTCAACGACCCTGGCCGCAGTAACAGCGGGCACTACCCGCGACGCCACCTCTGACTCCCCAAGGAAGAAGAAGAGCTGCAGGAAGTGCATGGAAGAGCACGCAATGGCGCAGTGCAAGGAGTTCCAACAGCTACCCGTCCAGAAGCGATCAGAGCTGGTGCGCCTCTTGGGCCTGTGTGTGAACTGTCTACAGGACGGCCACTTCGCCAGAAATTGCACCTCCAGCCACTGCAGGAAGTGCAAAGGCAAGCACAACACGCTGCTCCACAGGGACGACTCTGACAGGCCTAGCAGCGGTAGCCAACAAAACGCCGCTCGCACCAACACCGCGAATATGGCTTCTGCAGCGAGCGCCCTGCATGCCGAAACCCCAGCAAACCTACCAGCTCTGATGACGACTGTGGGGACAGTGAGATGTGGAGACGTCGAGCTACAAGCAACGATCATGCTGGATTCTGGGTCCACCTGCAGCTTCATCACCACCGACATGGCTGAGAAGCTGAATGTCCCACCCGGTGAGACCACGTCTGTGCGCACGACTGTTCTCGGTGGCAGCTGTCTGCAGCACGAGTCCAGGATCGCTCCCATAGAGATCTGTCACAAAGACTCAACTGCAACAACCCCAGTGCAGGCGGTCGTTCTCCCTCAGATAACCGCCGACATGCAACGTGTGGACTGGGATGCGCAGAAGGCAAGCTGGCCACACCTGCGCGGGATGAATCCGGATACCCCAGCTAACCCAACTGTGGACATCCTACTGGGCCTTGACGTTCCACAGTTGCACGCCTCGCTAGCCGAACGCCGTGGGCCTGGCCATGGTCCAATCGCAAGAAAGACACCACTCGGATGGATTTGTTTCGGT